GCCCGGGAGTGCCCGTCTCCTCCGGTGGCTTTGGCTACGGCTTCGGCTACGGCTTGGGAGGCCTGGGTGGATGCTCTGGTGGAAGAGGCTGCAACATCTGCTAAGGACATCGGCCACCACCTCTGACACCAACCACTCGCACCATGGAATCCACAGCACGGATTGACAATGCACCTCCCGGCTTTTCTGGCACATGGGTTTCTTCTCCAGGGCTCTTCCTCTCAAGGCACCAAGCAAGGAAGCACCGAAGGGGCCGGCCTGCCCACGCTGTCTGGAAACACGGACCATGGACCTCCTCCTCTTCTCCCACTTCTTCTATGTCCACTACTCTCTACTGCAAACACTTTCTGACAAGACATAGCCACACCGGGGACATCCAGAGTGCCGCTCCCACAGCAGGGATGGAAAAAACATGATGCTCTGGCAAGATCTGTCTCACACAAGGAACCTCGGATGATGGTCACCCTACCTGCAACTCAGACTGGCTCCCTTCCACTTGGCCATCCTGCCTTTGCACTCTTTTTCCTCAATAAAGTTCTCCCGCATCCAAACTTTAGACTCCTGCAATTTCTTTCTTCTCATGAGTTTCTTCCAACTTCACAAGGCACAAAGCCAGGGCTACAGAGCCCATCGGGGTGTGTGGAAAAGGGTTACAAGACCTCTCTTAGGAAGTATGTCTCCACAAAAAACAACAGCACACAGCAGCACAGGAGGACCTCCAAAACTTGACACAAGCCCTGCACTTGTCCAAAGACTTGGACATGCTAATGCACTTCTACGCAAGCCTCTGACACAAGTTCCCCAGGGCAGCACACACTTCACCAACTTTCTTCCCCCAGCACAGCCCCCTGGCCAGCAGAGTGGGAACAATCACAGCAAAAAGAATCATTGACTGCCCAAGGAACCCCTGGAGATCACCTGCTTCAAGTGAACCTGCTCAAGTGGGCTCAGCTCAAGAAGGCTCTCCACGATCTTGCCCAGTAAGGTTTTCAGTATCTCCAAGGACGGAGTTTCCAAGACCTCTCTGAGCACCCAACTGCACTCTTTGACAACCCACCAACTGAAACAGCCCACAA